GATCTTTATGATATTGTTTACGTTTTTATGCCTGAGGGAAGTAAAGTACAAATGGGACAGAGATATTGTTTACGTTTTTATGCCAAATGCGGTTTTTATGCCTGCGGGAAAATACAAAATGGGACAGAGATTTGTTTTTACGTTTTCTATGCCTGCGGGAAGTAAAATACAAAAATGCGGACAGAGAGATATTGTTTACGTCTGTATCTCTTATTTTGGGTATCTAATGGTTAGGGTGTTTACTTTATTGAATTTATTTATTTTTCATTTGTTATTTGCTAGTATCTGTCTTCATTTCGTTTTGATATAAATATTTGTATTTATATTTGTGAATCATCTTCATTTATATGTTTATTTAATCACTTGCTATATAATCTTCTATGTGAAGAATGTATGATTTGAAAAGTATAGAAAACGGGATTATTATTAGCAGTATATTTCACAATCCTTGAAACTTCGTGATGACACAGAGACCTTCCTTTTAATTAACGCGGTTTATCATTAAGCAATAAGTATTTCCTGATGTGGACAACGCCGAAAAAAATTCAATTCTTACTTTTCTTTATGTTACTATCTTACACATGCACACAGACATACATATATGTGTGTGCGTGTGTGTGTGTGTGTGTGTGTGTGTGTGTGTGTGTGTGTGTGGTGTGTGTGTGTGTGTGTGTGTGTGTGTGTGTGTGCGTGTGCGTGTGCGTGTGTGTGTGTATGCATATACATATAATGTATATATTAATATATATGTATATATATATATATATATATATATATATATATATATATATATTATATATATATATACGCACACACACATACACACACACACACACACACACACACACACACACACACACACAACACACACACACACACACGATATATATATATATATATATATATATATATATAATATGTATGATATATATATATATATATATATGTATATAATATATATATATATATATATATATATATATTATATTATATATATATAATATATATATATATATATATATATATATATATATGTATGTATATATATATATATATATATACATACGTGTGTGTGTGTGTGTGTGTGTGTGTGTGTGTACAAAAATTTATGCATTATACATTTAATTACGTGTATACATATATGTATATATATTTATACATACATACATATATAACACACACAGACACACACACACACACACACACACACATATATATAACACACACACACACACACGCTCTGCGTGTATGTCGGTATCACACAGGATACACACATACATGTACACCCAAAAGACAGATCTTCGGCTACGTCAGCGGCCGGCAGGTGGCTTACCGGCGCTCGGACTCCCCCTCCGCAGTGCCCCTCCGTCGTCCTCCGTGGCCGCTCCTGTTTCCTCTCCTCTGAAGCGAGCTGCCCGTTGGAGCGAGGTCGACGCCATGGACAAGAGTCGGAAGAACCTCCTGTACCTGTTCGAGCTACCTCACGACCCCATCAGCCTCCCTCGCGGCGGCGGCAAGATCCACTTCGACCTCGAAAATGACCTTTCGGTTCGTAAGCAGCAGGGTCGGCCTTTTTGGTTTCTGCATATTCTTATTTATTTGTATATTTTTTTTATTTCTTCATATTCTTATTTATTTGTATATTTTTATTATTTCTTCATATTCTTATTTATTTGTATATTTTTATTATTTCTTCATATTCTTATTTATTTGTTATATTTTATTATTTCTTCATATTCTTATTTATTTGTATATTTTATTTTCTTCATATTCTTATTTATTTGTATATTTTTATTATTTCTTCATATTCTTATTTATTTTGTATATTTTTATTATTTCTTCAATATTCTTATTTATTTTTGTATATTTTTATTATTTCTTCATATTCTTATTTATTTGTATATTTTTATTATTTCTTCATATTCTTATTATTTGTATATTTTATTATTTCTTCATATTCTTATTATTTGTATATATTTTTATTATTTCTTCATATTCTTATTTATTTGTATATTTTTTATTTTTCATTCTTATTTTATATTTGTCATATTTTATATTGTATTTTTTATTAATTCTTCATATTTCTTCATATTCTTATTTTTGTATATTTTTATTATTTCTTTCATATTCTTCTTGTTTATTTGTATATTTTTATTATTTCTTCATATTCTTATTTATTTGTATATTTTTATTATTTCTTCATATTCATATTTCTTCATTTCTTATTTATTTATATTTATTATTTCTTCATATTCTTATTTATTTGTATATTTTTATTATTTCTTCATATTCTTATTTATTTGTATATTTTTATTATTTCTTCATATTCTTATTTATTTGTATATTTTTATTATTCATATTCTTATTTATTTGTATATTTTTATTATTTCTTCATATTCTTATTTATTTGTATATTTTTATTATTTTTTCATATTATTTATTTGTATATATATATTTTCTTTTGTAGAATTTGGTGTTAGATGGGACTTTATGTAAATTTTGCTTGAAATAAGAAAGGACTATTTTCTCTTTAACTGCATGTTCACCCTCCGTCCAAACTCAGCGCCCCCCGGTGGTCGCCACGAGGCTTGGTGGCGGCGTCCCCGTGGAAACGACGCCCGTGCCCGATCGCGAGGACGTCCTGCCGCAGAACCTGGGCACCGCCGCCTCCGTGCCCATCGGCTCGCCCTTCTCCTTCTTCATCAAGTCGCATCGCCAGGCCGCCAAGGACCTGTGCGACGTCTTCATGAGTAAGTGGCCGACTTGTCCTCATTAATTTCCTTCCTGTAGCGTTTTTGTTTGCCTTAATTAATTTTACACTATACAAACCTGCATAAAAATTCGTGATTAGAGAAAATACGTATTTCGGGCACTACATACCCCCAAATCGGTCGAGAAAATACGTATTTCGGGCACTTCATACCCCACGTAACCCAAAATCGGTCGACAGGAACGAAGGGCGCCGAGGACCTCCTGCAGGTGGCGGCGCGCGTGCACGGCCAGGTGAACGAGACGCTGTTCATCTACGCTCTCTCCTTCGTCATCCTCAGAAAGAAGGTAAGTCTGCGGATGATGAGCATTTTGGGAATTTGTGAATTGATAATTGCTTTTATATTAGCTCTGATACGAAGACAAGAGCATGGGAGTACCTAGATATTCTTAGTCTTCGTGAAATGCTGAAAGATAGTGAACAAAAATACAACAGATCGAACGAGCCTTCTTAGATGGAGAGACAAACAGATAGATAAAGCTAGAGATAGATGGATAGATAGATCGAAAATTAAATGGATAGATAGAGAGAGGGAGTGAGAAAGGGAGTGAGAGAGGGCAGAGAAGAGAGAGAGGATGAGAGAGAAGAGGAGAGAGAGGAGAGAGAGAGAGAGAGAGAGAGAGAGAGAGAGAGAGAGAGAGAGAGAAGAGAGAGAGAGAGAGAGAGAGAGAGAGAGAGAGGAGAGAGAGAGAGAGAGAGACAGACAGACAGAGACAGACAGAGAGAAGAGACAAGAGAGAAAGAGAAGTAGACAACAGATAAATAAATTTGAAAAATTGTTAATTCCCTCGCTTCATCATCTCCAGGAGCTTCGCAACGTCCGCCTGCCGAGCATAATTGAAGTGTTTCCCGGGAAGTTCATCCCTCAAGAACAACTAATGAAAGCGCAGTTGGAGGTCAACCGAACGGACCCGAATCAGGTAAGCTAAACCTTTTTTTTTTTTTTTTTTTTTTTTTTTTTTTTTTTTTTTTTGAAATGGAAACCCTATGTTTGGCCTAGGATACGACTAAGACTGATTGTTTTAAAGAATAGGGGAATTGCGTTTATATGTATGTTTCAATTCTTTTCTTTTTTGTTTACAGTGTGTTTTTTTTTCGTTCGTAGTGAATATCTTTGTAGAGATTTTTAATAGAAACCGATTTGTTTTCTTTCTATTTCACTATCATCATCCACTTGTAACATATAGTCAAATTCCCTTATGAGGAACTTGTCGTGACAGGTTCCCTAAATAGGAATGACGGAACATTGTATATTTAAAGAAAGGAGTGTTAAAAAATTGGTAAAAAACACTTTGTTTGCGCCCGGTAAGGATACGTGAAGATACTAATTGTACGAAAAAAATACAACGTAGAAATTCTGTGCTTAATTTGATCTGGTTTTATCTCATATTCTTGAACGCTACACACACACACACACACACACACACACACACACACACACACACACCACACACACACACACACACACACACACACACACACACACACACACACACACACACACACACACACACACACACACACACGCTACCGCTGTACCTTCTGAGTATTTACATTTCCATCCCGTCTAACTTTGAGCGCCATCTGCAGTCCGAGCCAGTTGTGGTGGAGCACGGACTCGAGTTCTCCGGGACGCACCTGAAACCCGAGCACCGTCTGGCCTACTGGAGGGAGGACTATGGCATCAACGCCCACCACTGGCACTGGCACCTCGTCTACCCTATCGACATGGGCGTCAACCGAGATCGCAAGGGGGAACTGTTCTTCTACATGCATCAGCAGATGGTCGCCAGGTAGGGAGAACCTCGCTGAAAACTGACTGGTAAAAAGGAGAGAAGAGAGAAAGAAATATCTATCTGTATATATAAATAGATAAACAAATAGATATAGATATGTGTATGTATGTGCACGTTCATGTGTGCATATTTCTCTACGAAGCACACCATACAACATAGCAAAAAACAACTAAAACCAACAAAAACCAGACTCTCTCAAACCACCATCCCTCTCCCCTCCGGCAGGTACGACATGGAGCGCCTCTCCCTGGGCCTCCCGAGGGTGCAGAAGCTCGAGAACTGGCGAGCTCCCATCGAGGACGGATACTTCCCGAAGCTCACCGTGAACAACTCCGGAAGAGCTTGGGGCTCGAGGCAGGACGATACCGTGATGCAGGTCCTCTGGCTATACCTTTCGTTGACTTGTTTGGCTCGCGTAACTAGCCTGTTTGGTGTATGGGTTGTCTGTCGTAGCAGTGAGGGTTATTCTTAGTAGCCTCTATCTGATGTTTTATTTGTGTATATGTATTGTGTATAAAGATAGATAGATAGATAGATAGATAGACAGATAGATAGACTAGTCGATAGACAAAGAGACATAGATAGATCAACAAACATATAGATGAATGGATCGACAGATAAATAGATAGATCAACAAACACAGATAGATAGATCGAGATATACAGATAGATAAATCGATAAATAGACATATAGATAGATAGATCGACTGATACGTAGATAAATAGATCGGCAAACATACAGATAGATAGACTGAGATATGCAAATAGATAAATCAATTAATAGACCTATAGATAGATAGATCAACAGATATACAAATAGATAGATCGACAAACATACAGAAATAGATCGATAAATAGACAATATAGATACCGACAGCTATACATATAGATAGGTATACCGACAGATATACATATAGATAGATATATCGACAGATATACAGTTAGATAGATTGACTATATACAGATAGATATATCCACAGTTTACAACATAGATAGATAAACAGATATACAGACAGACAAATGTAAAGAACCTGAATCCTTCTTAAATAAACCTCGCTCTCTTTCTAAGCTCTATTAGAATTATTAGAGAGAGAGAGAGAGAGAGAGACGAGAGAGGAGAGAGAGGAGAGAGAGAGAGAGAGAGAGAGAGAGAGAGAGAGAGAGAGAGAGAGAGAGAGAGAGAGAGAGAGAGAGAGAGAGAGAGTAGAGGGAGGGAAGGGAGAGAGAGAGAGAGAATGTAAACAAGAACTAAAAAAGAATAAACCATCAATTAACCCTTTTTCTCTCTCTCGCAACAGGACTTTCTGCGAAATGACTTTGGTCTCGACTTCACCGACGTCACCGACCTGGAGATCTGGCGTTCGAGACTCTTCGATGCCATTCACCAGGGGTTCATGATCGACGTAAGCGCATTCGAGTTTGGTCTCGTCGATGCTTTTTGTTTTTTGTTCCGGCGTTTATTGTTTTTGTTTGTTGTTCTTATCGTTTGGTCGTCTTATTGGCTCTTTTTTGTAGCACATTTTGAAAAATTATCCATTATTGTCATCATTATTGTTTTTACTACTATTTTATGAACATTATAATCATTATTATCACCATTATTACTATTATTATTATTATTATTAATTAATTATTCTATTATTACTCTATTATATTATTTATTATTTATTCATTAATACTATTATTATTATTATTATTATTATCATTACTATCATTTAATATTGTTATCATAAGTTATAGTTATTATTATCAATTATTACACTTTTCATTATTTTTAATTATTACAATCATCATTATTATTAATCGTATCATTATTATATCAGTATTATTACTATATTAATTATCATCATCAATCATTATCATAAACGATCATATTATCATCAACTGTCATTTATCATAACCATTATTTATTACCATTGATTTTATCATTGTCTAACATTATCATTAATTATTTTCACCATTTATCATATTAATCATTATCACCATCACCATTCATTAATTATCATGATCATTATCATAATTGTTCTAATTATATGTTATCATTCCCCCGCCCCCCTTTCCAGCGCGCAGGCAAACGGGTTGTCCTCTCCGATGACGTCACTTCCGGCAAGAGAGGCATCGACATCTTGGGCGACGCGCTGGAGGCCGACTCGAATCTCAGCGTGAACTCGCCTTACTACGGTGACCTCCACAACATGGGTCACGTCCTCATTGCCTTTTCGCATGACCCGACTTCGCCCATAAGGTAGTGCCATTCTGTGTTGGGTGGGTGGGAGGGGTGGGAGGGGTGGGGAGGGAGAGGGAAGAGAGAAAGGGAGGGGGGGGAAGTGGAAGAGGGAGAGAGGGAGGGAGAAGGAAGGGAAGGAGGGAAGAGGGGGGAGAAAAAGGGAGGGAGGAGGGAGGGGGGGAGGGGAGGGGGAAGTAGGGAAGAGAGAGAGAGAGAGAGAGAGGAGAGAGAGGAGAGAGAGAGAGAGAGAGAGAGAGAGAGAGAGAGAGAGAGAGAGAGAGAGAGAGAGAGAAGAGAGAGAGAGAGAGAGAGAGAGAGAGAGAGAGAGAGAGAGAGAGAGAGAGGAGAGGAGGAGAGAGAGAGAGAGAGAGAATGTAAACAAGAACTAAAAAAGAAAGAAAGAATAAAGAAACGAAACTATAAACATAACTAAAAGAACCTAACAACAAAACCCCATCCATAATTTTCTTCCAGGAGGAAATGGCCGTGATGGGCGACACCTCCACCGCCATGAGGGACCCAGTTTTCTACCGTTGGCACAAGTTCGTGGACGACACCTTCCAAGAGTACAAGTTGATGCAAAGACCGTACACTGAGCAGGATGTGAGTTCTTGATCCCAAAGTCTATATAAGTATGATAAGTACAGGTCTCGTCACTTCGGAGTTCTGGCAGCTTTGGGTGATGAGGCCTATGACGTCACGTGGCGCGGAGGGAGAGCGGGGCTAGGGTGGGAAGGGGATCATAGAAAACGGTAGTGAATGAGCAGATACTTAAGTAATTTTAGATATCGGCCTATATCGCTTATTTTACGGGGGGTCAGTTTTGTAATTCTCATGCTGCAGTTAGATATGGTACAAAAAAACAAACAAAGACATGGCATATAGACCTTGCCTGATCCCACGAGATCTTTTGTCGTAGTTGGTTGGTAGATTATGTTGATGAGGTTGTGGATATCCCCGGAAAGGGAAAATGATATGGTGTGTGAATATTTTTTTGTTGTGTATCCCTGCTTAATGGAAAAAATGAAGATATTCTGCTGTTATATATCTCGGAGCCTAAAGAAATAATCCTTTTATATATCTCCCCGGAATAAGGAAAAAAAATGAACTCATTTAAATTATCTCCGCAGAATGAAAAATATATACATATATCGCCACAGATCGTAATATATATATATATATATATATATATATATATATATATATATATATAATATATATAGTATATATAATATAATATAATATATCCCCACAGATCGAAAAAATACCCCTCTCATACCTCACACAAAACGACACCCACTCCCTATTCCAGCTTAACCTTGCGGGCGTGAAGATCGAGCGCGCGGGCGTGGTCAGGAACAACGAGGCGGACGTCCTCCACACGGGCTGGAACACGCGCCTCTTCGAAGCCAGTCGCGGGCTGGACTTCAACGGGCGGCCTGTCATGGTGCGCCTCACACACCTCGACCACGAGCCCTTCAACTATCACCTGCAGGTCAGGCTTTGGGGCTTCTGGAGTTCGCGTGTATGGTATTGATATGAATACGATATATATGGATTATATGTGATGATATGATATGATATATGGTGATGCGATATGTATGATATGATATGATATGATGGTATATGATATGATATATGATGATGCGATATGTATGATAATGATATGATATGATGGTATATGATATGATATATGATACGATGTTGATGATATGATATGCGATATATCATATGACATATGATCTGATATCATATGACATATGATACGATATGCTATGCTATGATATAATGTAATATAATGTAATTTATATATGATTACCCATTTTACGAGCCAGTTTAGCGTGTTGAAGCTCAAGTTTTGTGGGTACTGGGCTGCCTGTGATTATGATGAGTAATCAACAGTAACCATGAGCGTATGAGGTCACAAAAGTTGAAACAATAGTACTACAGCTGAGGTCACTAAGGTCATTGCTGATGTATGCAAGATGAGGTGAAATGAGGTGACAGAAGCTTACTTTCAATTCACGTAAAGAAATGCATTTGAGGGAGTTATTTTAGCTTTTACAACTGTCATTTAAACTCCTATTCCTGCGTGTTAGCTTCATCCCCGATTCTCTCGGTCTTAGAAATCATTTCTTCCCACCACCTTCTCCCTCCCACTCATTCCCTCCCCTTTTTTTCCTCTCTGAACTTCCCTCTCTCTCGCGTCTCCTCTCGTCGCGTCTCCCTCTCTCGCGTCTCCCTCTCTCACGTCTCCCCTTCTCACGTCTCCCTTCTCATCACCCTCGCCCGTCTCACTCCCTTCTTCGCTTTCCCTCTCTCGCGTCTCCCCTCTCACGTCTCCCCTCTCCGCGTCTCCCCTCTCTCGCGTCTCCCTCACGTCTCACGTCTCCCCTCTCTCGCGTCTCCCCCTCTCGTCTCACCCTCTCTCACGTCCCCCTCTCGCGCTCCCCTCGTCTCACGTCCCCCTCTCTCACGTCTCTCACCTCCCCTCTCGCGTCTCCCCTCTCTACGTCCTCCCCTCTCTCACGTCTCCTCTCGCTCTCCCCTCTCTCGCGTCTCCCTCTCTCACGTCTCCCCTCTCTCGCGCTCCCCCTCTCACGTCTCTCCTCTCCTCGCGTCTCCCCTCTCTCACGCTCTCTCTCTCCCTCTCCTCTCCTCGCGTCTCCCCTCTCTCTCCCCTCTCCGCGTCCTCCCCTCTCTCGCGTCTCCCCCTCTCACGTCTCCCCTCTCGCGTCTCCCCTCTCCACGTCTCCCCCTCTCGCGCTCCCCTCTCTCACGTCCTCCTCTCTGCGTCTCCCCCTCTCACGTCCTCCCCTCTCTCACCCTCCCTTCTCGCGTCTCCTCTCTCACGTCTCCCCTCATCTCGCTCTGCCTCTCCACGTCTCCCTCTCTCTCGCGTCTCCCCTCTCTCACGTCTCCCCTCTCTCACGTCTCCCCTCCCTCTCTCGCGTCTCTCCCCTCTCTCGTCTAGAAATCATTTCTTCTTTTCCACCTTCTTCCTCCCACCATTTCCCTTCCCTTTCTCCCTCTCTGAACTCCCCTCTCTCACGTCTCCCCTCTCTCGCGCCTCCTCTCACGTCTCTCCCCTCTCTCGCGTCTCCCCTCTCTCGCGTCTCCCTCTCTCACGTCTCTCACGTCTCCCCTCTCTCACGTCTCCCCTCTCTCGCGGTCCCCCTCTCTCATCTCCCTTCTCCCCTCTCTCGTCTCCCCTCTCCTCACGTCTCTCTCTCGCGTCTCCCCTCCTCACGTCTCCCCTCTCTCGCGTCCTCCCCCTCTCTCACGTCCTCCCTCTCTCACGTCTCCCTCTCTCACGTTTCCCCTCTCCACGTCTCCCCTCTCTCCGTCGCGTCCCTCTCTCACGTCTCCCCTCTTCTGCGTCTCCCCTCTCTCGCGTCCTCCCCTCTCTCACGTCTCCCCTCTCTCGCGTCTCCCTCTCACCCCTCCCCTCTCTCTCGCGTCTCCCCTCTCTCGCGGCCTCCCCTCTCTCACGTTCTCCCCTCTCTCACGCGTCTCCCTCTCTCACGTCTCCCCCTCTCTCGCGTCTCCTCTCTCTCTCGCGTCTCTCCCTCTCTCGCGTCTCCCCTCTCTCGCGTCTCCCCTCTCTCACGTCTCCCCCTCTCATCTCGCGCCTCCCCTCTCTCGCGTCTTCCCCTCTCTCACGTCTCCCCTCTCTCACGTCTCCCCTCTCTCACGTCTCCCTCTCTCACGTCTCCCCTCTCTCACGTCTCCCCTCTCTCGCGTCTCCCCTCTCTCTCACGTCTCTCCCTCTCTCACGTCTCCCCTCTCTCACGTCTCCCCTCTCTCACGTCTCCCCTCTCTCCGTCTCCTCCTCTCTCTCTCACGTCTCCCCTCTCTCGCGTCTCCCCTCTCTCACGTCTCCCCTCTCTCACGCGTCTCCTCTCTCTCACTCTCTCCCCTCTCTCACGTCTCCCCTCTCTCACGTTCTCCCCTCTCTCCCGCCTCCCCTCTCTCACGTCTCCCCTCTCTCGCGCCTCCCCTCTGCAGGTGAGCAACAGCGGACGTGGGGTCAAGGAAGTGACAGTGAGGGTGTTCCTGGCCCCGAAGCTCAACGCCCGAGGCCAAGAGATGAGCTTCATGGAACAGCGCATTCTGTGGGCCGAGATGGACAAATTCACCGTCTCCTGTGAGTTGAGGAATGGTCTCAGATTTGGCTAAATGTTTTAGATTTGTTGGCAATGATGGGAAGAAATTGGCTAAGTAAAATCAAGTCTTTGAATTTGTAGGTAACGATGGGAAGAAATTGGTTAAGTAATCAAGTCTTTTATTTATAGGTAATGATGGGAAAAAAAGGTAAGTAAAATCGTCTTTATATTTATAGGGAATGGGGGAAATAAATAGTCTAGGTAAAAATCGGCTTTAAATTTATAGGAATGATGGAAGAAGTAGTCTAAGTAAAAATAAGTCTTTAAATTCATAGGCAATAACGGAAATAAAAGTCTAGGTAAAAATCGTCTTTAGATTTATAAACAATGATGGGAAGAAATAGTCTAAGTAAAAATCGTCTTTAAATTTATAGGCAATGATGGAAAGAAAAAGTCTAAGTAAAATCAAGTCTTATGCCGTGATGGTTCAAGCATATGATTTCTCAATCCATGATTTCTTATAGAATAAAGTCTATAAATTCGAATCATATTCCATGACATTATTATCAAGTCATAATAAAACCAAATATTATTCCGAAATAATCAAATCCATAATTATTACCAACCCGTACAACATCCCATCTATAACTCACCATCTACAACCTAATCAAAATAAAAAAATACATAATATGATATAAAAATAATATAAAAATACATATGATATAAAGATAAAAAAATACATAATATAATATGAAATAATATAAAAAATACATGAATACATAAATATAAAAAATACATAATATAATATAATGATATAAAAAAATAGCATAATATAATAAAAAATACATAATATAAAAATAATATAAAAAATACATAATATAAAAATAATATTAAAAAATCACTCCTTAATCCGCCACGTAATCCCCAATTCCTCACTTCTCCCTGACCTTTCAGTGAAGCCAGGCAGCAACCACGTCGTGAGGTCATCTAAGGACTCCTCCATCACGAACGCCGAGGAACTGACCTTCAGGGACCTTGAGAACGCCAACATCGATCCAGGTGACCTTGCTGTGTTCTTTGGAAGGGGGGGGTGAGGGAAGGGATGGGGAGGAGAGTGAGGGAGGATGGGGGGAGAGTGAGGGGAAGGGGGAGGAGAGTGAGGGGAAGGGAAGGTTGAGGGAAGAGAGGGGGAGGGAGAGGAGGAGGAGATGAAGAGGGAGAGGAAAGGAGGAAAAGGGGAGGGAGACGGCAGACAGACAGTTACAAAAAGACAAAAAACAAACGAAGCATAACAGAGAGAGAAAGAAGAGACTGTCTTTATCACCGATTCATAAATAGAAAAAATAAAACGATTCATAAACAAAACAAAAATAAAATGATTCATAAACAAAACAAAAATAAAATCCGATTCATAACAAAACAAAATAAACTCGTGATGATACAGAAGCAAAATGAACACAACAAACCTCCCAATATAAATAAAAGAAAAATAAAACTAATCATAAATGAAGGAAAATAAAACTAATCATAAATAAGAAAAATAAAAACATAAATAAAAAAAATAAAACTAAACAAAACAACAATAACAAAACTCCCAATCACGAAAATAAAAACAAAAGAAAAAAAATCTCCTCACACCGACGTCCCTTCTGCACAGCTTCTCCTGAGGCCACGGGTTTCAACTTCTGCGGCTGCGGGTGGCCTCAGCATATGCTCCTCCCCCGTGGCCGACCCGAGGGCATGCCTTTCCAGCTCTTCTTCATGCTCACCGACTATGCCCAAGATAAGGTATGTCGTGGGATTGTGTACGATCAGCTGGTCCGTATGTGAATGAATATTATGTACTGTATCAGCTGATTGGCGTGCATATGTACTGTATCAGCTGATTGGCGTATGTGAATGAATATATGTACTGTATCGCTGTGTGCGTGTGTGAATTTATATGTACTGTATCAGCTGATTGCGTATGTGAATGAATATATGTACTGTATCAGCTGATTGCGTGTGTGAATATATGTACTGTATCAGCTGATTGGCGTATGTGAATGAATATATGTACTGTATCAGCTGATTGGCGTATGTGAATGAATATATGTACTGTATCAGCTGATTGGGCGTACTGTATCAGCTGATTGGCGTATGTAATGAATATATGTACTGTATCAGCTGATTGGCGTATGTGAATGAATATATGTACTGTATCAGCTGATTGGCTACTGTATCAGCTGATTGGCGTATGTGAATGAATATATGTACTGTATCAGCTGATTGGCGTATGTGAATGAATATATGTACTGTATCAGCTGATTGGCGTGTGTGAATTTATATGTACTGTATCAGCTGATTGCGTATGTGAATGAATATATGTACTGTATCAGCTGATTGGCGTATGTGAATGAATATATGTACTGTATCAGCTGATATGTGAATGTGTACTGTATCAGCTGATTGGCGTATGTGAATTTATATGTACTGTATCAGCTGATTGGCGTATGTGAATTTATATGTACTGTATCAGCTGATTGTCTCCTTTGCTATCATTAATTTATCGCATTATTTTCATCATCTTATCCTTTTCTTCAACATCATATCGATATCTTCAACATCGTCCTTATCTCACCTATATATCATTTATCTTCATATCCTATATCTTTACTACTATATCCTTATCATATCTATGTCTTCAGCACTGTATCCTTATATCCACCACTATATCCTTACCATATCCGCCATTACATTCTTCATCCTAATATCCTGATCTTTACAGTCATGTCATATCCTTATCTTCAACATCATATTCTTAAGTCCATCGCCATAACCTTATCTTCGCCATGTTATCCTAAATATCACTACCATATCCTTATCTTCTTCATTATATCCTTATCTTCTTCATTATATCATTATCTTCTCCATTATATCCTTATCTTCTTCATTATATCATTATCTTCTTCATTATATCCTTATCTTCTTCATTATATCTTTATCTTCACCACAAAGCTTAAGCATTCCTCTCCCTTCTACAGGTGACCCAGCCAGCTGCCCGAGGGTGTGCCAACGGGGTATCCTTCTGCGGGATCCAGGACGCCAAGTACCCCGACACACGGCCCATGGGCTTTCCGTTCGACCGCCGCCCACCGCCCACGCTCCTCGACCAGCCTGTCAACACCGCTGCAGACTATGCGCGCCTCGAGAACGCTTTTATTCATGAGATTAGCATCAAGTTCCTGGCAGAGAGGCTGAACCGAGACTGAATGGTTAAGTCTCCCTTCAAATTGGGGTCCGTTTTCTTTGGTGCGGTCTTTGTATGAGAGTTAGAAATGACTATTGTGTACATTTCTTTTATATCTGTTTAATATTTGGATTTTGGTACATTGTTGTATAATATATTTTGTATCTGCAGATACAGAAATACTAAATGTTTTCATTATGTATAAAATGTGAAAACTGTGTTCCCTGTAATACTGTATTATCTGTAATAACTACTTACACATATCAGTATTAGATAGTTGTATATTTTATTCATTATAATCATGATATTTGAACAGACGAAATGCGTTTAAATAAATCTACATTAATGTTAGAAGCTCGTTTTATTTCCACTTACTCTCAGTACCATATAACACAGCTCCTCTGCTCCTAAGCTAACTCTCAGTGATACCAGTGAAAAGGGTAGTTAACATAGTCTCTCTCTCTCTCTCTTATATACCTATGTATATATATATGTATATGTACACACACACACACACACACACACACACACACACACACACACACACACACACACATATATATATATATATATATATATATATATATATAATATATATATATATATATATATATAACACACACACACACACACACACACACACACACACACACACACACACAATATATATATATAATATATATATATATATATATATATATATGTGTGTGTGTGTGTGTGTGTGTGTGTGTGTGTGTGTGTGTTGTGTGTGTGTGTTTGTGTGTGTGTATGTATGTTGTGTGTGTGAGTATATGTGTGTGTGTATGTATGTATATATGTGTATTTACATACACACATATATGTATATATATGTATATATACATACATATATGA